TTTTTAAAACTATGACTTAAAAAGAAGTTCTTAAAGAAAGCAGCGGAGACCATGTGGCCTCATCTTGAAGCTGCCTTTTCCCTGCGTGTCTCCTACTCTATAAAACAAGCGTGATAGGTTTATAAGTTAGCACTCGGTGACACTTGTAAAAGCAGGCTTATTCCTGAACTTCTGGATAGACAATTGGGCGGGAATGTAGCTTTCTTGGCCTTTAAAAAGTGGCTTTTTACAGATAATGTAATGCTATGCCAAGCTCTTTAAGATGCAGCAAGCTCTTTATTACTTKGTAGTTTATAAAAAACAGCGATTTTCTGTGCTGAGCTGCTCTGGGAGCTGGAAGTCAGTGGACGGTTCGTGTGCTGGTGTCCGTGCTCTCTTCTGCGCTGGTTTTGCAGTCCGGACCAGGCAAACCCGGAGCTTCCTGCAGAGCCCGGAGCAGCCGCAGGCCCTGGCGCCGGGAAAGGTGCAGGAGGAGGAGGTTGTCGCCCCCTCCTTGGGCTCGAGGCAGTGAAGCAGTGTCTGTGGCCGGGCAGCGTCTAGGGGTAGCGTGTGAAAGATGTTCCCCAAGACATGCAGCTGATAGCAACTCTGGAGCTGGACAGAGATACGAGTGTCGCGTGCCCTGTGCTGTGGATGTCATGAGCGTCCTCTTGCTGCATCCCTCACAGATTCACAGATTCACAGAATATTTAAGGTTGGAAGGGACCTCTACAGATCATCTAGTCCAACCTTCCTGCTCAAGCAGGCACACCTACAGCATGTGGCACAGGGTGGCATCCAGGCGGGTTTTGAAGACCTCCAGAGTAGGAGACTCCACAACCTCCCTGGGCAGCCTGTTCCACTGCTCTGTCACCCTCACAGTAAAGAAGTTGCTCCTCACCTGGAGACGGAACTTCTTATGCTTCAGTTTGTGGCCATTACCCCTCGTCCTATCGCTGGCCACCAGTGAGAACAGCCTGTCCCCTTCCTCCCTGCATTCTCCCTTCCTGAACTTATACATATTAATCATATCCCCTCTGAGCCGTCTCTTCTCCAGAGAAAACAGGCCCACCTCCCTGGTGGCCTCGCAGCATCGGGGGCCGTGGGTGGACCCGGTGTCCCGCAGGGCTCCTGACGCAGAAGGAGGGTCCGTTCCCTGCGCCGCGGGCCGCTAGCAGCTCTCGAAGCGCCTCTGGGGCTGGTGGGGGGGCTGGCTGCCCTGGTGGGGTCAGGCAGCCCTCGCCCTCGTGAGCCGCCCCGCGCAGCCRCGGGAAGCACGGCCGGTTCCCGCCGGAGCCGGGGGACGGAGCAGCGGGAGCGATTCTGGGGTGGGTGTCACCAGAAAGAGCTGTCCTTGTGCCCTGGCGTTAGCCCTGGCCGGGGGCAGCTCAGGGAGCAGCCAGCCCAGTGTCCGGCCGGGCGCGTGCGGCAGCCGCGCGCTCGGCCCCTGGAGCTCCGCGCGTCCCGTGCAACGCGCCGCGCGCCAACCGGTAACCTGGTCCGTCTAAATGGCCACAATTCCCTGGGCACAGAGCAATTTTTAGTGGTAAATCGATAGCCTAATAGAAGCAGCCCAGAAATCTTTTGACATTTACTCAAGAGGGAGTTGTCAAAACAAGATGTGTTTATGTGAGGGGGTGTCGTTGTACCAGCCGGAGCTCATGCGGTCCCCACCGGGCCAGGGGGACGCAAGGGGACACGAGGGGAAGTCCTTYGGCCTCTTGTCCCTGCATTTAGATAGTTCATCGTCCCGTGGGAAATGAGGGGTGAAGCAGCACTAGGAAATCATCTTGGAGATGCCCAGAGCCTTCCAGCAGGTGCAACGCGAGGGGGTTTGCGTGCGAACCCCAAGAGCGCGGCCTGGCCTGGGGGGTGAATGGGGCTGAGCGGGGAAGGGGCTGCAGCGGCTCCGCACTGGGACATTCGCAGCTGGGGGGTTATGGGAGAAGCCCCACGGACAGGGGCTGTTTTATGGGTGCCAGATCCAACMAACTTGTGTCCGAAGGGGCTTGAGAGCTGCAGGAGAAACATGGGCAGGTACCGTGGGCTTGGCCTGGAGACAAGATGCGCACAGCGGCACCGCGCTGGCTCCCACCYGAAAAAATGCGGTGACATTTTCGCTCCGTTTGGAGCATTAACCCCCGCGGCGTCCAGGGATGGAGCTGATGAGTGTCCGTGTCCCTGTCCGCAGCAGGATTAAATCCAGGCGAGGCACCTTGTGTGGTGTCCCCATGGGCCTGCGCCYGGCGGAGCTGTGTGCACCGAGCGCCGCGTGCGCGTCGGCCGGCTCGCTCCTCCGCGCGCCCCGGGAACGTGGCCTCTCCGTCCTCCACGGTGGGCTCTCCTGCTCTGCGCAGCCCTGCGGAGCTTCAGGAGCTTTGCCCTTCCTCCAACTGCATAATTAATGATGCTGTAATTGCATGCAGACGGCTGCGTTTGTTCTCACCTTTCCCCGAGAAACACATGGCAAATGTGCATCTCTGTCACCCTTTCCATTTTTCTTCCTGCAAGAATCTGTTTTTTTTTTTTTTTCCCTTCACTCTCTGACTCCTGTTTACTTTATTAGTGGCTTTGATTCATGGAAGAGTTCTTAATAAGGAGAATATTTCTATTTTGCAGGACTTGAGGAAAAAGAAAAGAGAGAAAAAAAAAAAGAAACACATCAGACAGGGGTTCTAGGATGCATAATTACTGTCAGATCATATCCGGAATGTTTTGTTATGAAAGCATGTTGCAGTCTGCAAAACTCCACGTCTAAAAGCTTCAGATCCTTCTAATCTGCCGTTGAATAGCACAAGAAAAAAATCCAATGTGCCTAACATCTGGTCTCCATCATGCAAGAGGTGCTTTGAAATTTGTGCGTTACTGCCAATTTATGTTATTTTCTTCCTATTTTCTTTTCTGTGCATATTGAGTGGATCAGATAAGCCACTAACGCTGGCAGGTCTGTGATTTACCTTGCACTGCCACATGCCATCTCCACTCTCCCATCTCTCACATGGGGAGCAAATACTTGACCCCTGCTTTTGGAAACTGGAAAGTGGCTCCAGGTTTTTAATACCGGGTTCTTTCTGGGAGTAGACTGAAGTTTGTTTCATCTTGCCATCCTGCTGCTGTTGCACTGGATGTTCTCTTACGTTTCTCGTTCGTTCTGCTCTCACACGTTAGCGAGGCTTTATTAGTCCCCTCCTCCCCAAGCTCCTGCTGGGTAATGGTTCTGGTTTTATGGGGAGTTTTTTGTGGGAGTTGTCAAAGAATAATTATGCTCCATTAACTTCACTTTGTATCGCTCCTAATTCACACCTATTGGGTGTTTTCCAAGGATCTGATCTCAGTTGTCTCTTAATTGCTAAAATCCATAAACTCAGTTACTGAAAGCGTGCAAAGGGTTTGCGCCCTCTAAGGCGTCCCCTTTCAGTGCAAAACGTAGCAGAAATCCTGAACGCAGGGGTTTAATCAGGTCTTATTTCAGCCCAGCTTACGCAGGTGGTTTCCTTGCAGCCGCATCAAACACCCCCAGATAAAACCGAGGTCRTCTTCGCGCTGCGCCTGCTCCAAGCAGGGGCACAGGCTTCCCGTCRGGAGCTGCAGTTAGCCTGGCCGTTGCGGGATGCTGCTGCTTGCTGGAAAATTGGTGTGGAGAGGGTGTGGATTCCCCATCCCTCTCAGAGCCGCGCAGCCCCTGCAGYGGTCTCACGTTCGGAGCCGTCGGCTCCTCTCACGCTTGGAAGCACCAGTGTGAGTCTGCGCTTGCACACGGTGAAGCCTTTGAAGCAGTTTGCAGTTGGTGTTACGTTTTGTGGTTTGTGTTGGGGGTGTGTGTGTGTGTGTATATGTTTAACACAAGCCGGTGAAGTGCTGCTCAATGCTAAATGCAGATAASCGATGTTTTCAACTGGACGTGAAAGAAAAAAAATGCTGCTGGTGACAACTCTCTTTCCCTGGAAAAAAAATCATGGACCCCTGGCACAGAAACCGTTTCTGCACAGAAAACATGACACTATTTACAAAAAGCGATGTCTAATATCCTTTTCCAGCTTGGAAAGAGGAGTTTGTTTTAATACATCCTTTTTTAATTGCCATGAGCTGGGCTTGTAAATATTGTAAGTGGTTGAGTAATCGTCATCTGTTAGCAGTGGACCAAGYGGAGGGAGGTTTTTTTCCGCTCCTGGAGCCTGAGCGTGTCCCGCAGCCGTGCCGGGGCACTGCGGGGCACGGGGCGACGGCGGCTGTGGCGGAGGAGCCCAGGAGCAGCCCAGGGCCTCTCCGGAGGCCACGTGGCCGCCGCTCCCCTCAGAACACTCCATAAGTTCTCTTCAGCGTCCCCCCCGCCCCGGGTAGCAGCGCGGGGTGCCCGAGCTAATGCGCAGCCCCGAAGGTTTGGAAGRTCACGTTAGTCATCAGTTCCTGCCGCAGGCTTGGGGAGGGCCGGAGCGCTCCGAGCTCGCCCGCTGCCAGCTTGGGCAGCCTGCTGGTGGCCTCTGAACRGTGCTTGACAGTCATTTTCCAAAGCCAGGTACGCGCACAAAAGTATTTTTTTTCCCTTTGCAAAATGGTCTTGTCTTAAAGTAGGAGCTGTTTGGACTGCAAACAATTTCCTGATGCAATTTGGATTTCCTTCTGCATAATCTCTTGCCCAGTGGAATAGGGGGATCTCGGGAAAGCTTAACTAGCCTTACCRTGATGTTAGTAGGGGTTAAATGGATCCTTTAATCCTCACAGGGCAGGTGKTCAGCTTGGAGGACAACCTACAAAATAGCACCAGCTTCAAAATAGTTAGTTTGGAGGTCGGTGTGAGAAGCACTGGCTGCCCCACCAAGGTGACTTTGTGTTCGTGTCACTGCACAGTTATTAACGCAGCGGGCCCTGGTTAAGGGTTTGTACCAAGGGGATCATGCAACCTGAATGTGGGAGAAATTCTGTTTCAGGTGGAGGAGGAGCAGGTCTGAGAAAGAATTTAATGGCAAAGGGCACTTGCGGAAGCGGAAGGCGGTGACCTGGTGTCGTTTGCTCTTTTGCAGGACTGCTGGTGGTGATCGTGCTGCTGCTCATCGCCATCGCGGTGGTCGCCGTCTGGCCAACGAAGTAGGGCAGACACGGGGCCTCATCCAGCTGCTGTCCCACAGCGGAGCGCGGGGGACCCGGAGACGAGAGCGGCTTGTGCAGAGACCTCCGTGATTTCAATAAACTCAGCAGCACCGGAATGACGCCGTGCGCGGCCGAGCGCGTGCCCTGCGGCGGGGCACGGCCGAGAAGGGCTCGTGGTGGCGCTGCCCATGCTCCCTGCCCTCACGCGGCACTCGGTAGCGTGAGCCTGCCTGTAGGATAGAGCCCTTCCCCGCCGCATCCGCCTCTCAGCAAGAGTTTGCATTTGGGGGCATCTGCCTGGCCCGTTCTTTCTTCTCTTGAAAGGCCCTTCGTCTTGAGGGCTTTAAAATACTGTCTGCTGGTAACCTGGGGGCTTGGGGCTACCTAAGTGGAGTTCCTGTGCTTTCTGACAGAGGTTTCTTACATTTCCCAAGGAATAAACATCTTAGGCCACACATGTATAGACTCCATCGAGATGGAAAACCAGAGAGCACGTGTAGGAACAGCCTGAGGACAAGGCCGTGACCTGCCCAAAGCTTTCATGAGCGAGTCAGCCTTTGGCTGCTGYGGGGCAGCTGTGGGCGCCGGTCTCCACACGTGGAAAAGGGGAAGCAGCGGATCTTCAACATGTTAGTAAAAACTAACCAAAAAAAAAAAAAAAAAAGGTACCGAGCATTTGCTTCTGACCAGAAAAATCCTTATTTTGTTATATGCGCCAATTTGATTCTCAATTGACAGAGCAAGCAATAACCACACTGAATAAAAGCGGAAGCGTTTATCTGCCTTTAGCTGAATGATATTTGTTGCTGCCTGTTTTCCATGCTGTGCATTAATGATCTTTAATGCTTCCATGTTCTACGAGCTGATTTTAGGAAGCGGGAAAAGTGCTTCCGATCAGGTGTCCTCTGCATCTTGGTGTGTCTTTCCTGATGTGTTTGCAGTGCTGCCCAGCCCCAGGCCGTCCTCAACCGTGGCCCTGAGGTTTGTGTCGCCAGAGCTCTCAGCTGCCTCTGCTCCATCGCTCGCTGCACAGCTGGTGCTGCCAACGTGYTCAGTGCCCAGGAGGGGGGAAACCCGGCCCTTTCAGCCCTGTTGTGTGACACCGGTGGGGCCGCCTTGCTCTCTTGTGCCCAGTTTCCCCATCTCTTGGCTGTCCCCATGATGTATCTAGGACCTGTGGCCTGGAGGGCACTTCCTTTCTTGTCAAGCACCTTGGAACCTACCAAAAGCCTCAGSTGGAGATGAGCTGCGCGGCGCTGACTCAGCATCTGGATGGTAGCGGCCATGGGATGCAGTGAGACAGGCTTGGGCCTGGCGTGATGAAGGTGCAGCTGAGGCCAGGCTGTCGCGGAGGTTCGGAGGCAGCCCCGTGCTGAGCAGCACCATCACACACTCCCTTCCCTCCTGTGGACTCGGGGCGGATGCGGGATGGGGGAGTGGGATGGGCCGTGTGCAGGACTGGCCGGTCACACACTGCTGACCCCGGCACCCCGCCCTGGTGGTGACGGGACCAGTCTGGGCAGGCAACCACATCCAGTGTTCCTGCCTGCTGGGCAGGAGAAGCGGTACCTGCGGCTTTCCCTGGGCCTCCGCGGCGGGAGAGGATCTTTCCGCAAGGCTGTGAGAGTTGGGCGAAAGCAGCAGCCGCCCAGCCGGTGCCCGTTTGCTTTATGCGGAAAGAAGCTTCACGTTACGGCCTCTTCAGGAGGACAGGGGGAAACACTTTTTCGGGGTGATTTTTAAAAGGCCCGGGCAGGTCTGTGAGGATTTTGTTGTGTGATCTGCGGGGCTGCGGGCTCAGCAGCTCCAGTGAGCGTGGGGCCGCATTCCCAGCAGGGCTGGCATGAGGAGCCAAGCCGGACAATCCGCCCAGAGCCCTTTGTCCTGGCCCCGTGTCCTGCAGCCCCGTGAGACCAGGGCCCTTTCCAGGGCAGCGTGTTGGGCCTGCAGGGCTGCGGGGACCCCGTCAGCACGACACGGGCACCCGTGACRCCCAAGCCTGCACCGGAGCCCTGTCGAGAGAGGTGCCGCTGATGTGCAGCATCATCAGCCCGGCCTTGCAGCCGGGCCAGGAGCTGCTCAGCCAAGGGGCCTGACAGGGACCTTCCCAGATCTGCCCTTGGGTGACAGCGAACGGGGTGCAGGCTGAGGAGCTGTGATAAAAAGGGGCCATTTGGCCACCCCACCAAAGCAGAGGGCAGGCCGAGGCACCCGAGCAGCTCGCCCCACTGCTCGCACCTCCGCCGAGCATCAGTGCACGCAGCGCCGTGCCAGACGCGGGCTGCGACGGGGACACGCGGGCAGCTGGGGCAGGGCGCCCGGCGCGGGACACAGAGAGCGCGTCACGGTTTACAGGCGTTTATTCAACTGGTCTCTGACTTTAGTCCTACTAGATGGGTGCTGAACACGTACAAGCTTCTTCGGGTTCAGTTACAGCCAATCTAACGAAACGAATGAACAAATGCAGAGGAAAAAAAAAAACAAAAAAAAACAAAAAAACCCCAAAAACCCAGAAAAAAAAAAGATAAGAAAATCCACAACTTTTTCACGTGTCATTAAATATATTCATATATAATAACCATAATATATTAGTATGCATTGTAAAGAAACATCGCCCAAAGCAGTATGCATTGGTCATAACTAAACAACATTTACAATTCAAGATATTAACAGGAAAAATAAAAACAAAAATTAACCAGGACAGGACAGAACAACCACAGGTTTGCGACAGGGCTGCGCCGGGGTGCGGCGGGCGCGCGGGGACGGACGCGACGAGGGGGACGAGACCGGTCGGGGCGGCTGCTGCCGGGCTCCCTGGGGCAGGGGCCGCTTTGGCCCCCGTGGTTCCCAGCGGCGCCTCCGGCTTTCAGCTCTGCCTGTGGCCATGGGCTGTGGGCCCTGGTGTCCAGGGGGTGGTTGCGGAGCCTGTGTCCTCTCCCACCTTGGTCCTCCGGGGAGCTGGGGTTGACGGGGCTGACCCCTCTTGCTGGGGTTTCTCACCGCCTCGTGCCGTGGGCGGCTGTGTTCAGTGACAGGGGCGCGTGGGTGGCGCTCCAGGAGCAGAGATGACTGACTTGGGTGACCACAGCCACTGCCTGGAGACATCCTGGGGCAGATGGACCTTGATGTCCCTCCGCACTTGCGCTGTGGTTACCCTCGTCCTTGCAGCCACCACAGCAGCAACCCTGGCCGTGCAGGGCAGTGTCCGAGAGTGACATTGGTCCTTCTTGGGGGATAGGCCAGAGGTCCCCTCACCAAAGGAGGTGTCCCAAGGGGGCTGCAAGGAAGACTTGCTTCCCCAGCCTCCGTGGAACGGGGCTGCTCTGCTGTTCCCTGGGGGAGCAGTGCTGCAGATGGCTCCTCCGGCTACTGGTGCAGGTCGGGTTACTGGAGACGTTGCTTGGACAGAGCCATGGAGCTGGACAGCCATGGACAGCGCGGGAGCCTCTCTGAAGGGGTTGGAAGCACCAAAACACAATCATGGTCGAGGAGCAGGGTCCTGCTAGGCTGGGGAGATTGCATTGCTAGTAGTCGCTCTGGGTCCCATAGATTCTCTGAGCTCTAATTAGTTCTGCCTCTCGTGCTACCTGCACAAGCACCTTGGTTCCCTCCTCCGTATCGTTTTTTTGTTAGTGCCTGGGGGGGCCCTGGCGGCTTGGCAAGGGGGATAAGTGCCTGCCTGAGGCGACGGAGCTTCCTCTGCAGCTTCCCAAGACGTGGGAATCGGCGGGAGGGCTGGGACTCATCCCCACTGCCACAGGCGGTGGGGACGCCGAGGCCGTGCTGGGGCAGTGGCAGCGCTGGGCCCTGTGCGCTTGGGAGAGGGAGTTGGAGACGCTTGGATCCCAAGTGCCCTGGCTTCCCCGTCCGTGCCTCCCTGGGTAGGAGAGTGCTGGAGGCCTTGGGAGAACAGGCTTTGCGTTGGCTCCACTTGTTTTGAGCCATTCAAGAGAAATTTCATTTTGTTTGCCTAATGACATAGGCTCTGTGCGTTTTCTCTGTGTTCCTTGCGGCATTTGGCCACATTGCCCTGCTTGGCTGGATGCTCCTGATGGGTTCGGAGGAGGTGCTTCACCTGAGCAAGCCTTGGTGGTGTCCATGGAGTGGACAAGAGTCTACACTATGGTGCAGGCTGCAGGAACCTTGGGCTTGGGCATCTGCGTTGTGAGGGCACCACTTATAGTTGTGGACGGGCTGTCTCCAGCACCAACTCTACGCAGCATGGGTCAGTCCTAGCGGGAGGGGAGCTGCCTGGCAGGACTGCGTGGCTTTAGGCCCCTGTTGAGACACTTAAGGTCAGATTTTATCTTTTGGAAGCTCTTGGAAAGCTTGGGTGCCTGCGCTCCCCTACCTGTAAAACTGTCACAGTTGGACTTGATGGTCTTGAAAGTCTTTTCCAACCATAATCATTCTGTGACTCTGTGATTAGCTCTTCTTGGGCTCTAAACCAGGTCAAATGAGACTGTTCTGAGCAAGACAAGACTGGGGAGAAAACCGTGACTTGGTGCATTGCTCTGTGGCCAGGATGGGGTGTCAGCCCCAAGCCCATCTCTAAGGGCCACGAGGTTGCAGGGAGGCCCAGTGCGCTTGGTCCCTCTGTGCCATGTCTCCCAGCAGCCCCGCTCTGCCCTGGGAGCCCTCCACTTCACACCTATTTACATGGCTGCCTCGCTTTATGGTCGTTTATGTCATTATATAAATATTGTCAATTGCTATAAAAAAAGGCAAAACCACTGGAAAATGTCATAAAATAGATGTTTCCAAGTTTCCTAAAGGGAAAAATATAAGGGAGGTTTTGCTTTTCGTAGCGACGAACATTTGCTTCTCATCCAGGTACCTGGACTGCCCTGCCTGCATTTCCGCCCCGGCTCTTGCCAGGGGGACTCAGATTTCCTCTGCTTTTTACGGAGCAACATGGAGGTGGAAGAGCTGCCACCCTGGCGGGGGTGAAGCTGCCCCCACCTGATGTTCCTCTGGTGACAAAAAAGCCTGGGGGCCTGGTAAGTCCCTGGGAAGGCTGCTCCCATGCTCAGCTGCTGCTTTGCAGGGTGCGAGATGGTGGTGGGACCTCTGCCTTCCCGGTTCACTGGGGTTAGAGCTTAGGAATCACATTTTTCTGCTGATATATTTGCTTTTTTTCACTGCCAGTGGAAGATCCAGATCCAGGTGGGTAAAATGTCAGACATTGGGTCTCCAATTCCCAGTGGAGACCCGTTCCCTTGGGCTCATCTTTCTGCACAGGCTCTGATGGGGATCTCTGTGCTGGTCCTGCTGCCCATGGGCACCTGTGTTCCCAGCCAACCAAGCTGGCCACCTCAAGCAGTGACACGGGACACTGGCCAGGCTGCGTGAGCGAGGGCCAGGCTGGGCCATTTGGGGGAAAACTGGCTGAGTTTGGCAGGGAAACTACTACTGTCCTGGGCTCGGGCATCCTCTGCGTGGATTCCTGACCCTCTGAGGGCTCCTCACTTGGCTAACGGCTGCAGAAAGCACCAGACCCATGAAGGAGGCAGTCTTGGGCATGGCTGGCTCAGAAACCATCACTACTGTAGGGCTGAGGATTCCCATGTATCGGAATAGACAGCTTTTCTGCTGGATGCTTCCCTGGCGATCCTGGTTATGAACTTGAGCGTGGATTGGCAGGGATCGGAGCATCCTCCGGGCTCAAGCTCCTTGGGCGCCTCTGTGACAGCACGTGGCTGGTGCGCAGCAGCGTGCAGCTCTCCTTGGAAGAACGGGGCTGGAGCAGGGATTGTTGCCCACAGTATGTGCACGTGGGAGGCGCTAGCTAAAGTGGTCTCCGTCTCCCCTTTTGCCCCTTTTTGTGCGTATGGCCTCACCTGGTGCAATGGGAGCTGCATGTCCATGCGGCTGGAGACCTCGTCCTGTCTCAGGTTCTGTACAGCAGGGAAGCATTACGGCTGTTATACACTGAAGAGTCTTTAAATAACCTATATTAGTTGATGCTCAGGTCTGTGCTCGGGGGTAAGTCTCTGTTTAGTTTCCTCTACAATAACCGTCTCATTCAACCTAAGCTGAGAGTATGCATTTTGGGGAGGGGGGTTAATTCCAGCGTTGCCGTTGATTAGTTTCTTACAGGCTGGGCCATTCCTGTGTCTATGCTTTGGAACTAGCAGACGTTAGCGGCTTTAAGGCAGTTTGGTGTCTCCGATGTCTTCAGCGAAGGGGCCGAGAGGAGCCGGGGGGCAGTGGGAAGCGCCGGCACTGCCAGCGCAGCCAGGGCACTGCCCAGGGCAGCCTCCTCCTGCAGCAGCTGGGTTTGTCCCCACGTGCGTGACACGAGGTGCAACTCGGTGGTGACACCGAGGTGGCTCCGGGCCACACGCCCCAGCCCAAGCAAACGGCCCGGCGCCCCCTCGGCAGCCCCCGGCGCCTGGCCCTGTCCGCTCCCCTTCTACACAAAGCAGCATGCACAGTCAGTCTCGCACGCGCTCGCCCGCGCGCTCCGTCGCCGTCCCCGCCTCTAGGCCTTCTTGCACTTCCCCTTCTTCTCCCGCTGCTGGAACTTCCTGAGCCGCCGGGCCCACGTATCCCGCCACTGTATCACCAGGCTGGTTTTGTCCGCAATGATGCCGCTCTGGTCCGGAGAGTCCTCGTTGTTGCCCAGCAGCAAGTACTTCTTCATGGGCTTGATTTTGGGGCACTTGCACGCTATGTCCTTGGAGTGGATCCACAGGGTCTGGTCTCCGCGCCGTATCCGGTTGCTCCCTTGTTTATAGACGGAGATGATGTTGACCGTGAACTTCCACCAGTCGGCATTTCTTTCCGCTTTCAGGACGTGGATCTGAACAGCTGCAAAAAGTCAAGGCAAGAGAGGAAAAATGTTATAGTTTGGTAAATGAATATAAAGTCCTACCAGATAGTGTGCATGATGAAAATGAGTTCTGTCTCCAGAGACCTGCAGACAGGTCTCCAGCCTGGTGGAGAGCAACCATGGGCCAATCTCATGATGGGTGCACTGAAGCCAGTCTCGTCCCCAGGGCTCTAATCTGAGAATGAAGCAGCCAATTCTGATGACAGAAGGTCTCAGCAAAGACACCACAACCACAGTGGGCCCGGGAGGTGCTCTCCGGGTCTGCTGCCAAGGAGGAGGCCCAGATGAGCAAGACTCCGTTACCCCATGGGCTGAGCAGGCAGGAGGACCCGGGAGGAGAGGGGAAGCTGGGAGCAGCAGTAGATCAGGACCCAGTTTGTTCCCTGTGCTAGGACCCATGCAGATGATGCAGGGCTACCTGCCGTGAAGGGGGAGAATTGCTTCTCTCTCCTATTAGTGACCTTAGGAGGGTCCATCCCTCTCCCAGGGACCTTTGGGACATAACTATGAAGCAAACACAGATGGAGCAGTTTCCCAGAGCCGCTTGTGCACCCCTCTCTTCAAGGATATAAGAAAATCTTTTAAAACGTGTCAGGTCCAGATGTGCCATAAGGTCACTGAGGTGCTAAAATACATCTTTTCCCTAAAAGCTACAAGCACAGATGAAAGTGGAAAATTAATAAACCTCAGGAAAATGTGCCTGCAGGGCTGAGCAGCGGCCAAAGCGCAGGGCGAGGGCTCTGTGGATGAGGTGGGCGCTGCAGGAAGGACAGAACCCAGGCACCAGCCTCGTGAGCAGCGCTAGAGCCCCGGCTTGCGCTGCCAGCACCTGGCGCACGTGCGAGCCGGCCAGGGAGGCTTCGCAGCCTGACCACTATCACGAACCACAAGCCCACAAACATGCCACCACTGTCCAAAATCAAGGTCATCTCTACAGAGCCTGTTCCAGCCTATGAAAGGATTTATGGGAGGCGAACTGGAGCTATCAACATGTTTCCAAGATATGGTTCCTGACCTGGTGCATTCAGTGTTTCACATGGATAATGACATTGCTTGTAAAAAGCAGGAGTGAAAGAGTGAGGTTGGTGGTTAGTGATCATGAGGATGAGTCAATGACAACCCAGTCAATCCAGCCTGGGTTTCTGGGTTTGATGGACTCATTTGAACATTGCTTTTAACGTGCTGAATTGTAGCATCAGGCTCCTAGCATTGTAGAGAGTATCTTGGGAAAAGCAGCCAGGCAAAACATGAAAAGTCTGGGCAGGTAACCAGACATCACAGGCTCCTAGAGGAAGACTAAGATGGGAGGACAAACATGATCCATAAATGCAAGAATCTCAGAATGATGCCGTGTTCCAGCCCCACAGCTCATGTTGTATAGCTCTAAAGAGGGACACACTGGCAGCCATGTGGACTGTGATGAAACCTGCTGAGAACCCTGGTGAAGACTCTGCTTCTCCACATCTTGCTCTTTCCTCAAACATAGTCCTGAGTTCATATATTGCATTACTCTTATCTCTTTGCTACCCAGCATCCATGCAGGAACAGTGATCCCCAGCCCTGCTGAGCCAGTGCAAAGAGGAGGCTTTGCATTGTCATGGAGGTGGGAGAGGACACTGCTCAGTATCTTCTGCAAAAGAGTTGCAGAGCGGAGATGGTGACAGACACTGGTTTGCTTCCAGTGTCCTCCCATGCTGTGAAGGAGACAATTCAGCTCACATACGATTTCCACAAACCCTAAAGCTCCCATGGTTTTGCTTTGTGGGTCAGCACCAGGGCTGTGACCCAGGTTGGTCCTGGGCAGGCTATGGAGCTACAGGGCTCTGGTTGTCCTCTCCTGGCATTTGCTCAGGCATGACCTCTAGAGAGCTGGCCATGCAAAGACCTCCCGACAAAGACGTGCATCCCTACATATCTGTCGCCACGTGGCTTGGTGACATCCACCAGCCCTCGTCCTCTCCCTTCTGCTCGGGGCTGCTTCCTTGGGCACTGCATCCAAGCGGCAGCTCATGGCATGCACACCAGCTGCAGTCCCGCTCATGAAGATGTCCACGTTGTGGCCTCAGGTTCAAAACCTACAGAAGGAAGGAGACCAGAGGGAAGCCTAGAGGCATCTTCTGCAATGCTTCTGCACTTTCTTTTTGGACAGCTCTCAAGCAAACGTCACAGAGAGGGCCAGAGAGGATGGGAGCAGCTATCAGCTGAGATCGCCTCTTGTTGACTTCCTTGGGAGAGGATAAACACTCTTCTCCTCCCTAAAATCGGCTTCCAGGAAAATAGCTTCATTGGGAAGTGGTTACACAGACCTCATGTGTTTATTTGCTAATTGTGAGATGAGAGGAATCAATAAAATCAGAGACAGAAGGGGAGAAAAAATCCAGTGGAAGTTCCAGTGCTGGACGGGAGACAAAGTAAAGAGAAATCTCTCCATGAAGGCTGCGGGCTGGCGTGTGTGGAGCGTGGAGTCATGCTGCATTTTCCGTTTTCTGACCTGCCTCTGCAGCTCAACCACAAAACACTTTTTGACGGAGTTTTCAAGGCTCTTCTCCTTTCTTAGGCCTTACCTGCTGCACCCTGGTGCCTGTAACAGACCCTTGCTGCCCACCCGGCCGGCTCAGGGATTGACCCCATCCACGCCAGCCCCCGGCAAGAAATCTCAGTCACAGAGACAAATTTCTCACTCCAATCTGACCCGTGCTGAATCACCAGAGGAGCAGCAGCACCATCACATTAAAGCTACGATGTCCACCCTGATTTCGAGCTCTGAAAGGCCAGGGGAAGCCGAGCTGCTCAGCCCAGCGAAACTTTTTAACACATCACACAATACATGGATTATTTTTTTCTCAGATCATGTCACAGATGCCAGATGCTTTCATTAAAAAAAAAAAAAAAATATCGCACAACCCCAACCTCTGACCATGTATTTCCCAGCCTGGTGTGAAGGTAACAAAATGTGCAGATTAGCCAGTTTTTATTTTTTTGGAAACAAATCTTTCCAAAAAGGCTTAAACCTTTGACCTGCCTTGGTCTGCACTGACAAAATGGAGAAAATGAATGAAAGGGAATTGGAGCGAGGTGGCTACAGGAAACTCTGCTCTAAAATACACAGTCTGTATTTTCTTTCTAATGTCAAGGCCCTGTCCTTTTTTTTCTCTCTCTCTTTCTCTGCTCTTTTTCCTTTCCTTCACGCAGTGGAAGGAGGGGCAGTCTAGGTGAGGCTCGGCTGGCGGTGCCGCAGCCGCCCTCACGGGCTGCAGGTTTTGCATCTTGCCTTCGCGGTGTCCCCAGGGTGCGGGGCAGACGCGGCCCCACTGGCGCTGCCCGTGGCCAAGCTCCTCCGCCCTCCTTGGCGGCGAGAGGGCCGGGAAACGCAGCCGTTTGCCCCGCTTTGCTCCCCACGCTCAGACACCTGCTGAAAAGCTTTGGTGGCTTCGGAGCTGCAGCTGAGCCGTGAATGGGGCTTGGGTGTTTTGGAGGCTCTTCATCTCCATCCTCTTCCAGGGCTGGCGAGCAGTGCCGGGCGTTTGGGGAAGCACGAGGCTGGCTGGATTCCTCTTTCAAGGTTTTGTAGGGGCTGTTTGTTTCCCATGAACTGCCCTTGTGCTCCGCCACCAGCTGAGCTCCTTTGGCATCCCCGTGCCACCGGGCTTCTGCCCAGTCCCTGGGGCAGCGCTGACCGTGCCTCCAGCTCCTCCTCATCCTGGGGGTCCCTCCGTCCCTCTGCAGTACTAGGGCCAGGCTCTGTTGCTCAGGCTGCTTTGGGCTGGAGCAAAGTGTTAACGTTAGATTTTTTTACTTCTTTGGTTTTTTTTTCATTCACTTTGCACCCAGCAGTGAAATTTGCCTGCATCTGGTTGCCAATTTCCTACCAGTTTTAATATTGGAGATTTATGACCCTTATTAACCGAGGCTGGTCCTGGGAGGGGACATGAGGTGGCCGCGCGTTTGCTCTCCCTTGTTGCACGTGTGTGCACTTGTGGCAAGGGGTTTCTCCCTGATTTTTGGGCCAGGAACGGGTTTCCTGCACCTTAATCTCCTGCAGGGTTCAATTTCCATGTGCATTCCCTCCAAAACATCGCCTCACAAAAAGCCACCTGGAATTCTGTAGCTGTGAGGTGGGTGAGAGCAGCAGCATCATCTACTCTAAACAAACAAACACATATTTTTAAAAAAAAGCCCAACTTAAAAAGAAAAAAAAAAGCATAATCAAATAAAAATAATAACTAAACAAGGGAAAACATTCCCTTTAGTTCTGTGGATGACCGAGGGAACTGAAGAGCTCTGTAGAAGAGCACGGGGCGGGGGGATGATTGCTCCGGCCGAGTGCCTCCACTCAGGCTAATTGGGGTCTTTTCGGATGCTCAGACACAAGGGCGAGAAAAAGAGCCTCCTAATTGGCCTCCCGCTGCGGCGTTGGGCTCCGTGTCTTCATCAGTGTCCGCGCCTTTGAGAGCCTCCCGGGCCATTCCAACGGCGCGGGGCCAGCCCAGCTCCCGGCGAGGGTCCGGAGTGGCCTGGCCGCCTCTGCTCGCCTCTCCTTTCATGTAGGCATCTCTCAAAGCAGAGCGTAAATGCCCCTTGCTGCATCCCCTCTCCCCTTTCCTGCACATCCCTCTGGAGCTATTCATCCCCTGGGTGCTTCCGCAGCTCTTCACACTGCTTCCCTCCCGCCAGGATCCTGGTGGGCAACGAGAGGCCACATCCAGCCCCATCAAACCTCCCAACCAGGTTTCAGTCCTGCTCCAGCAGGAGCCCAATCTTTACGAGACACCAAAGGAAGCCATCTGGAAAACCAAAATTTTACCTGTGCCTCGGGTGGGGAAAAGCATTTGTGAGCGGTCACACAATGTACTGGACAGCAGAGAAGCCTGGCTGCAGGGTCAGGCTTTGGCTCTGTCCCTGCCGCCGTGGGCGGCTCTTCCTTACGAGGGGGTTTCTCTTCCCTAGAGAAGCTGCTTTCTGTGGAGGGCCCAGGAGAGCAGAGTGCCCCACGGCGAGGACAGCGTGTGACAAAGCACCACTGGCGGCTGCACACCAATCCAGTCCCTTGCTGGCCCCGTCGGCACGGCCAAGCATGGCCCGGTGAGCGCAGAGTGCGTCGGGGTTCAACTCTGTCAATGCAGGGGAAAATAAAGGCCGGGCGCCTCTGCCCGCAGCTCCGCCTCGCCCGGCGCCCCGGGAGCCTTCGAGCACAAAGCCAGGGCGAGGCAGCCCTCACGGCGCCCCGGCCTTGTCACAGGAAGATGCCATGAGGAGCTCCTGAATGGGAATTCGTTCTGCTTTGGCCAACACTTCCCAGATACACGGAGCTGCTGCTGGGAGGATTCAGCGCGGCAAGGAGCAGCCCGCATTCATCTGGGAGCCTTTGCTATGGAGGAGCTGGGGGCTCTGCTCCTCCAATCCCGGGGACTCCCGTCCAGGGTCAAGCCCTACCATGAGCTTATTCCCTCTCCCCCTGTCTTGGATCACCCCTCGAGCAGGACATGCCGGAATGCGTCTTGCACCTGGGCTGTTTGCTTCGTTAGAGAAGTTTGTACCCTCTTGTAGACTCAGCTCCCCTCATAGCAAGCCTGGGTTTGGAGATGTGAGCTGATTTCCAGCATACCCATTTAGCATAATTTCTAAACATCTACTGACACATTCCCTCTATTCGACCATTGCTGCCTGTCTCTCCAGGTCAGCCCCGGTCCCACCACCCAGCTCAGCCCAGCAGCACTGGCCAGAAGAACTTGGGCTGCCTGAGGGCAGGACTGGAGCAGAGCTGATCCCCTCTAATCTCCTCTCAGCTGGAGGGAAGGACTCACCAAGGTGGGGATGGAGTCGACCCATGTTAAAAATAATCCTAGAAGAACCGAGGTCTGAAGGTATCTCTGAGGCGGTCTGGTCCAACCAGCTCCAGTAAGGTCCAGAAGACAATTTTTGACCATCTCTGAGGATGAGAATCCCTCATCCTCCCTGGGCCCCATCCCAGAGGTGCACCACCCTCTTCATGTATTTGTGCACGGACTACAGGGCAGAGACCTAGCCAGATGACAGAGAACTGTCTCCCACTTGTCCCCACTTCCACAAATGCAGTGAAAAGAATCACAGGGTCCTGGGGCCCACATAGCTCAGGAGAAGTCAGACAAGGAGAAAGACCCTGGTTTGAGAGGCTACCCAAACACTGGGGCTCAGGTTTTATGAGCAACACATCACACTCAAACTTGGCTGAGTATCACACCCCCATTTCCTCTCCAAATGAGGGAGAAATGATGCCCCTGATTGCCTGTCCCACGATGGACCTTTCCAACTCAGGTGACTGCATCAGGGACCAGTCGGGGCGCCTTGGCCTGGCTACAGCCAGGACCCACCCGGGACATCCCCTAACAGGGACATCCCACACCGGGGAGATCCCGTACTGGGAGCATCCCACGCCAGGGACATCCTGTCTCAAAAGCAGGGCAGCGAGGGGCAACTCACCGTAGTCTTTCTTACAGTACTTCTTCATGTTGATCTTCAGCTTCCCCTTGGACGCCTTGCAGTATGAGTCACAATCTGGCCGGGGCGAGAAGGGGAGGGCAAGAAAACATTAACAAAACAAATTAGCCTTAAAATGAATAAAAGCTGGGGGGGGCGGGTGGGGAGGGGRGGGGGTTAGAGAGGAGGAGGAGGGGGCAGTGGCTCAAAGCCGTGAATAAGCGGCGTGCCGGCGATATCCATCTGCCGGCCCCGAACCAAGGGGGCATTGAGAAAAACCTGAAAACCTGCCGCTCCAAAGAAAGCATCGCACAAAAGCGCCGTCCGGCCGCCCCCAGCCCTCGTCCTGGGAGACCCCAGGGCCTCCCTTATTGTACCACCCAGAGCTTTTGAGAGCCACGCAGTCCCCCGTCCCGCGGCCCCGGCGCAGAGCCACAGAGGCCCCTTTGTCGCCCCTCGCCCGGCCGCCATCAGCTCCTGCATTCATTGCGGGGCCGTGCGGGTCGCCCTGCCACAATGCGGGTCAGGGAGGAAATTAGCAGCCCGTGAAGCGTTAGCAAAGGCTTTTGGTGGCCCCTCCAGTGAAGTGTGCAAATAAAATGCCCCCAGCAGGGACCACGAGCAACTAATGGGCCCCCGGAGCGGTTGCCGGGCCGCCTGCGCGGGACGTCCCCGACCATGGAGCATCGTCCCGCAGCACAGAGCGTGGCGCCCTGCTCCGCATGTGCTGCGTGAGTCCAGGTGAGCGGGGCCCTCTGAGCAGAGCTCACACTTGGTGCGGGCTGGGAGGGGAGACTGAGGCATGCGGCAAGGTGATGGCCATCGTGGCTAGCGTGGCTGCGGCGCTTGCATGGGACTGCTCGGTCTGCTGCTCCGCTGTGCTCCAGGGCACCTCAGATAGGAAAGCTGCTGTGGCTGGGGCACAGCAGCCACCTCCAAAGTGGGTAACAGGAGCTGTCAGATGGAGCTGGGAAAGCAAATAGGCTGTTCCTCCTCCTGCAGCTGAACCCCAGCTCTGTAGTGGTCTTGGGGCGTTGACTGACCCCTCCTAAGAGCAGCAGCTCTGGGATGTGGCCCTGCAGTGTAGGAGGTCTGTGGTGGTGGAGGCTGCCCAGGCAAGGAGGACAACAAGGTCTACAGACACAAAGCAACGCGTGCCACGCACCCTCTCAGTGCGACAGCCTCCATGCAGGAGGTGTCCAGCAATAAAAGACCCACATTCACAGAGTGAGCTTCCTCAGTGGGAGAGAAGATGCTCCATGAGGTCTCCTAGTGCCACCCACCCCTCCTTGCTGGTGGTAGATCCAAACCTAGCCTGATCCAAGAAGCCACCTCTTTCTCAGTTCTGAGTTGGGGAGTGATGAGAGAGAAATGTAGAGAAATGAGCATTCAAACAGACCAAGACCAGCACAAGATCTCACTGCAATCTGTGCATGTCCCATCCCAGTTCTTCCTCACCATGACCAGCTGGACAATCACGTCATATCATCACCACTCTGCTGGCCTAGATATCTCCATGGCTGCCTTCTGTCCTCATTCCTCAGAACAGTGTGCATGATAATAAGTGGCTTCATGCTCTGTTGGCATGATCTGAGTAAAGTCAGGGCTAAAATCAAAAGCTGTTATTTGAAATGTCGTCTTCCTGCTCTGAGAGGGCCAGCCAGCAGGGCTAACTTCAACCTGCCATGCGTTCTTAGAAAGCGAGGAGCCAAGATGATACCCAAGAGATTCCAACAACCACTGCTTCCTTTTTGTTTGAGCCTCAACATCTTCCAGCACTTGAAATGCATTAAGAGTGAATCTTCCATTAAAAAAAGTTAGAAAGCTTACACTCATTTTAACTCCTATCTTGTAATTTCTGTTGCTATCGCCTATAGGGCCTGCACTGAGAAAACCACTCAGCTGTCCCATGCGCTGGGAGTGCATCCCAAATGGGCACTTGCCAGAGCCCGCCTGTGGTGGTAGAAAAAAGAAGGCAGCACTCGTAGTTCAGAAGATGGGGATTTGCTAGCAAAGCATAGGCCATGCCCCCGTGGTGGGACACTGCCATGCAGAGGGACACTGCTGGGTGGTGTCACTGAGTGGGGGGTGGCCAGACCCCAGAGACTTACTGATTCGCTGGACTACCGCTGTCAGCTGCCCCAAAGCCCACATACGCAACGTGGCAAACACCACCAGCTCACCCTATAGGGCACACGCCAAGGGAACAGAAACACGATCCAACGGGCTGGTAAAATGTTCCTGGCCGTGAAGATGGAAGGAAAAGACTACAAAGGAAATAAATGTCAATGCACTGATTTAACCGCCTGGGACAGCTTTCTCTAGCCTGCTTGGCTGAGTAAGGGACTGACAAGAGACAGGCACCTGGGCAGCTCCACCAGGCAGTGAGTAGGATTCTGCTCAGTGTGGATTGCTAATGTTTTCAGGACACTAATGGGGTTATGATAATCGTGATGATGATTGCTGCGTTCTCTGGCACAAGAATCTCATGAGCTCTATAAATATTCATCACTTCTGATGCATCACCCCCCCCTAAGCAGAGCAGAGATTGCTCTACCTGTACTGCAGCGGAGAGGCTGGCATATGGCAATGTACTCAAGGGCAGGTGGAAGGCAAGTGACAAAGCAAGGACAAAGTCTAGGATCTCCAGCTAAGTTTGAGCCAGCCAGAGAGGCACAGGAGAACACCTTCTTGCACCTTGCTGAACTTTCCAGGTCCTGCTGGAATGTTTCAGTCTGCCTGAGATTATTGATTGACAGAAACTGATCCTGGGGAGCTTCCCAGATGAAGAAGCTGAACAGGCACTGCCTGGCCAAACCACTCCATGGGGCAGCACTACAACCTCCATTCACTCCAGGACCAAAACCACATTTGTGGCTTGAGACATCCAGTGGCTCCAGCTCCCCCCACCAAGCCATCCTCCCCACCCCCAGCACCACAGGCTGTGTGAGAGCCTCAGCTGGTTTAAATTGAACTTGATTGGTGTCCCAGCTGGTGTAAATCAGTGTAAATCATCAGACACCAGGGCTGGTTCCCATCAGTGGGGGATTTGCCCCAGTTTGTTTCCTCAGTCTCCTGTGTGGAGAGCTTGCCTGCTTCATGGGTGACTTTGGAGGTCTTCTGGGATCCCTTTGGGCTGACAAGTTAAACCTCCCGACGTGAAGTCCTGTGCTTGTGTTTGCCAGCAAGTGGTGCTGCATGCTCAGGACTGATACTGAAAGGTCACTGCTTGCTCCAGCGCAGTGCACTGAGAGTGTGCTACAGGATATTATTTTAGCTATGCCTGATGACTGAAAAAGACCTCACTCTTGTCTATCGATATTTCAGCAGCTTGGACTTTTGTGAGAAGATTGTTTGGCTGCCGATCCCTTGATGGGGGATGAAAATGGAGCCAAGCTGAAAGCTTGGAGGAAGGGATGGGAGGAAGGAGCAGCAAGCAGAAAGGGGAGGAGAGACTGGTGGATGGAATGCTTCAAACACTCTTTCAGTAACTTCTGCATCTCTTTGCTGGTATAGGCAACTCTTGCAAATCTTCTCCTCAAATCCTTCCTCTTTACAAGCCTACAGACTCCCAAGGCAAATATCCTTGGCCTGACCATGTGAGAGGCTCCCTCTCCTGCAGATTTCTCTGATGAGATTATGGAAGATGGGTAGTGGGGTAAGCTGTCCTTGAAGGTGAATGCCCAAGAGATGACCGCTGAAATGCAGGCTAGTAAGTACGGAAGATAGGTCTTATCCACTCAGTCATAAGGGTGCAGTGTTGGAGTGGAGATTTCTCAGCTTAGTCCTACAGGACAGCTGACTTGGGCATCCTTTCTGTATTTAGTTCACACTTCTAGAGTGCATTTCTATGCTTTAATTCATATATTATATATATTTATTTGTTTGTTTTCCCTGTGGATATGAAGGACAGTGTTCTCTTCTGCTCCTAAATCTTGCATCTGAAACTGGAGAGACTCAGAAGCCAAGCAGAAGAAGATGCAGCCCTCCAGGCGGTTGCAATCTTAGCACCAAGTGATGCTGTGGTTTCTAGTGCCCCGCAAGCCGTCAGGAAGCATTCTGCATCTCCCTGCGAGCCCTGCTGCACAGAGACTGGCCAGATGCTTTGCTGTGAGAAAGCACAAGCTTTCTGTGTTTCCTGGGTAAACAGAGCGCGCGGGAATTTGGAAACATGCAGTTGGCGCTCCTCGCTCCGCGAGCACGCCGAGGGCTGGGAGCAGGTGGCGGGCGGCTGTTTCGTGTCCGTCACAGCTTAGTAAAATGTGTCAGCGTAGCATTCGGCAGCTTTACAGCTCGGCCCATCCCCTTGATATAACTAATTCCCTGGCTAAGCAAAGAGTTTTCACAGCTAAACACCTTTTTTGTTTTGTGCTTTTTTTTTTTCCCCCAAAAGTTGCACTTTTTGAAGAATGTTTTCTTCATTTTTGGGGATAGTTTCAGCAATGCAAGGCTGGGATTATTAGCAAGAGACTTGAAAGAGCTGTGGAAAAGGTTAGTGTGGGGGACTCGTTTACCCCACCCTCATCCATGTCCCAGTGGGATGTGTCCCCATGGGATGTGTCTCATTTGTGACTGCCAATGACCATCCAGTCTTTTGGGCTCGCGGCTGTTTAGATGAAATACACTGACGGCGGCCTTCGCAGAGGGTTCAGATTCATGTTCACAAGGGGAAGCTATGCTGAGACTGCAACTTGCTTTGCTTGCAGTTCAGAAATGATCTTTAAGCCTTTGCGAAAGCCACATGTCGGTAACGGAAATTAAAGGCCCCTTGATTCTGACATGATAGAACGATTAAAGCCACATTTCTTGGCTTGGGTACCTAACTCAAAATGCAGATATAAGACATAGATCCCCAAAGGTATTCAGATTTCTAATCCCGATTTATGCAGCTAAATTCCTATTGATTTCCCCCAGGTAAAGCCCTAAATACCTTTGTGGACTGTGATCCAAAGCGTGGGTGTCATAGTCTAGAAGGGAACACCCAACTGACAACTTGGCCTTAAAATTCTAACCAGTGAAAGGCACCTTCCCACCTTCTATCTGGATGCTCCTGTTGGACTGAATTCTCTTGCTGGGGC